GGGGTTGCTCAAACATGATCTGTAACACGGTGATCATAATGACAACTTACAGGTTCGTCGAAAAGTTTGACAAGGGGCTAGATAGCTCAAGAGTGGGATTTGCTCCTCCGACAATGGAGAAATATTCTTAGGGGCCTCTCGGTGTGATGGCATCCAACATCGTCTGGCCAGACACAGGTGACTAGTTCATAGGGATGCTAGAACATGTCTATGAGAAAGAAGAACAAAACTGGTAATAAGGAGACCGGATAGTGAGCATGAGAATGACTCAAGAGGATACCGATATATCTCAGCTTTGGTTTTGTAAAGTATCGTGAAGTAAAGGGAATAGCACATGATAACCGAATGTTCACTCGAATATCATCTGTGTATTCATAGGGATCAATATGGATCCACAGTTCCTCTATCGGTCATTGAACGAAAGGAGTTTTGTTCATGTCTATGTTTTACTGAACCTACAGGGTCACAAGCTTAAGGGAATCACAATCTATTGAGTATTAGTAGAGTAAGAGTTATGAGCAAATATTCTCGGAATAGTGTCGGGAATAAGAGAAATAGTTTCAAGAAAAATTAGAACCATTTCAGGGTTACCAGAAGAGTTTCGGGGTTTACCGGGTAATACCAGGAAATGGAGACTTTAAATAAATGATAAAATCTTCTAATATTTATTAGGAGTCTTTTAGAATTTATTTAATATCATCGGGTTAAAGAAAATACTAAAAGGTCGATTAGGGGAGAGTAAATGGGCCCTAAGGCCCATTAGTGGAGGCGCCCCAAGGGGGAGGCCGAATTGGGAGGTGGAGTTGGACTCCACAACTCCCTAGGATGACGCAAGAGGGGAAACCCTTCTATAGGTCGGACACCCCTCCCTCTCCCCTCAACATATATATACGAGAGGATTTTGTGCCCGATATGAAAGTGGTAAACAGCTATTTGATATGAAATGTGAATTTTCTTAATGCTGGGAGTATTAAGAGTAAACTAATAAACCTACTAAATGGGTCATGGCACTTTACAAACTTTTCTAGTAGTAAAAGCGTGTGTGATGGATAGCCCAATGTCATACAGTTTTCTTCACCAAATTGTGTGTGATATACTTGAATAACACAAACACTTAACTGAGGCATAGCGCGTGTGATCGCTCCACCTATCACAAACGAGGCTATATAGAAAGATGTGTGTGATGCGGTCTGCCAACACAAATGTTTGTTCCATAATTACTCTGTGGTATGGCAAAACGATCTCACACGGCTTGTCCGACGAAATCGTCTGTGTTAGCTCTCCCAAGCACACACGAGCATATTCGCTAAGTGTGTGTGACCGGAGGATCTATCGCAGACATTTTCGGGTCATGTGGGATGCCCCCCCCCTCTATCACACACATAGACAAGACGACGATTTAAAACTCTGACGTGGAAAGGGGGTAAAAACAATTTGTATAGGACATCGCTGCACCAGTGGGGGTGACGAGGAGCATTCGACGGACATCTCCATGTGCAGAGCCCTTTTTAAGAGACATGTGCAACATCTACTTCAAACATAAAAAGGTGAATCTTCTTTACGTGTGTTTTCTTATCCCCTTCAAGAATGGTATACTACTTGACCCTCCATCATGCATCCATAGGTTTGAGGTGGGTTTCATACATGGCGAGGAGGAGTGCAAGCACAAGAGAACATCTACAACGTCCGCATAGGAAGCCTGGAAGCGACGACGAAAGAAGCATGAAGTGAAGCTGCTAGGGTTACACCCACCGGGCATCCGGTACCCTGTGCTGGTGATCAACCAGGAGTAGACAAGGTCCAAACATGCTCCAACAACGGGACGTCTGGTGCAGACCAGACATCCGGTGCATCATCCACCGACCGAACATCCGGTGCACACCGAAAATCCCTCAAAAGGACATCTAAAGGTAATCCCAGATGGATCGAACATCCCATGCCCACCGGGCATCCGGTGCCTCAGCATTCAATCGGACATCCGGTGCCTGCTTGTATGCACTTTTGGGCCTCAAGCCCATGCATCCCTCTCCTACCTACCTTTTTGCCCTAGAACTATAAATAGACGCCCCTCCTCATTTCTAGGGTTAGCTAATATTATAACTAAACTAAATAGCTTAGCTCATGTATCTACCATTTGTGGGATCTATCACCTCTCCATTGGAGATCAAGACCTCCATTGGAGAAGATTTCCAAGGCCTCCACTTGTGGATAAGAACGACTTCAAGCATCAAGCCCCATCTCTCCTAGAGATTTGGATGAACTACCTTTGTATCTTGTCCCTTGATATTTTTGAATGCTTGAGATCTATCATTTTTCTTGTGATTTTAGTGTCTTGTGTGTGGATCTTGTCCAAAAGAGTGTTCTCTTGTGATTTCCCCCTTGTGTTCTTAGTATTTTTCCCAAATCCACATCCAATTCGTGATGATCAGGCAGAAAAGGGCTTGACCCTATATCAGGAAGCCATTTAGTTTTACTCATTGTTAGATGAAATTGATTTTTTACTCATTGTTAGATGAAATTTAATGGCCAACCAACATGTATACAACTTGTAGATGGCCACAAGACCGACGACAACAGGTTGAAGAAAAATGATAGCTCAAGCACCCAACAATCCATTTGACTGGATGATGAAATGAAAAAAGTTGTACGGGAGAATGGATGAGTCACCGTGCCAATGAATAACCGACAAGTGATGGAAAACAAGTGGGAGATAGGAAGGCCGCTCGTAATGCCGCGGCGACTAAAATGTCCACCACATGGACGGATATTTTTTCCACAATGAGGGGGGGGGGGTGAAGAGGAGAGGTAGAAACTCATGTTGGATGCACAAAAAAAGACGATAGATTGAGACCAGGAGAGAGTGAACAACAAGTTGAAAATTGAGCGGGAGAAGATAGACTTGGAGAAGCAAGAGGCGTGTGTCAAATGGGAGTTTGAGAATGAATGGACATTCGGATAAATATAGCTTTAGAAGGAGAGATTGCAACTTGCTCGAGACACGAAATACATGAGGATAATGTTAACGGACGCAGGTTGGGTGCAGAAGAAAAAGCGCGGCTTCAGGGAAGAAGGAGATCAACTTGCGTAGGCAGTACGAAGGGCGAGAGCGGCGGTGGCAGCATCAAACACTGCATTGATGGCATACAGCGAGTGATTCACCACATTACCTAGCCATGGCCAATGCATTGAATTTTTTTTATATCCAAATTGTTGAATTGTGATTTATTTTGCTTTGTTGCATTGTTAAATTTTGGTGAATTTATGCTATATGATTGACATGCATGATTTGCATGGATTTAAAAATTTGATAAGAGGAATAGACCGACAGGACTGTCCATGGTTACGCCTGAACGCGCCCACATACATTTAGGGATTAGAGTGGCCGGACTTGCTAAGTTCGACTATAGATGATATTATACCTCCGAAAGGGTAAGAGCATTTTCAACAGGCGCGCTTTGCCTCGGCGCGGTAATTCTTTTACAGCGTCAAAATAGTCTTTTAGCGCGCGGGAGCGACGAGAGATTTTCCGGATACACAAAAACACGACGCCCAAGCCGGCTCCTCCACCTACAGCAGCCCCCGCGCACAACCGTGCGCTAAAGCTTTTTGTGCGTGCTCTATTTTATAGCTTCTGTTGGAGCGTTGTTTTCTGTCTCCGGCGCACAACAACGATCGTTTTTAGGCCAACTCCACCGCACGACCCTAAACGGACGTCCGGATTGGCTGGATTTCGTCCCTTTGAGGCGCCGATGGGTTCGTCCGTGTCCGGCTTTGTCTGTTGGGTCCTGTATGCGCCCACCGCGCGGCCGCACCCCAAATCGTGTCCGGGGTGGACGTGAATAAAAAAACTATAAAAACTAGAATGAAATGACTAAAAAAAGTAAATAAACACATTTAAAAAAACATAAAACATATATAGGGGTCACGGCCACAAAACGGTCAATTTCCACGGCCACTTAAACGGCCCAGTTTCGTAATTAACATAAAAACAAAATTAAAAAAACGCCTCCCGCGCGCTCCTGCCGCGCCCGTCGGTGCCGTGGCCGTCGCCGTCTTCACTGGCCGCCGGTGTCATCGTCGTCGCTGACGAGGTCGATGTAGGCCGGCGACGTCCACAGGTGGGCCGGCGGTGCGTGGTAGACGGGGGCGGGCTGGACGGTGTGGGGCAGTGTGGACGACGACCGGTCCACGGTTTCCACTTAAAGAAGGACGGCGACCCTTCAACGTGTGGATGACAGGTGGGGCCGTCCGCCCGTGCGCATTGATGTGGGCGGATGGGAGGTAGGTGGCCGCCTGCCACGCGGCCCCGACGCGGACGAGGCGCGCATCCGTTTGGTGTCCGCCGCGACCCAAAACCGGCGCAAGTTTGCGCTCGAAATGGGTCGGTCCGGACACAAAACGGACAAGATGGGTCCGGACCGTCATGCGCTGGGCCGCCTCATTTGTCTCTTTTACCCCAAACAAACGGGGGCGGACAGGATAGGGTGATGCGGTGGAGTTGGCCTTAGCGCGTGAGGCGTTTTTTGAGTGCTCTATGAAAGAACATTTCAGCTACTCTAGTTAGGCCCTAGGGTTCATCCTATCCACCAAATGCAACCAATTCGGGGCATCTATGTCAATAATTTCGCGGCATCTGCTTGTTGATCGGTGCCTAACTTCCCTTCATACTCATACGTGAGAAGCTCATCTCAACGACCCGGGCCTCACACGCGGCTGACTGGAAGTGGCCAGCTAGAGGGGAGCGGCGACGGCAGCTGGAGGGGAGTCGTTGTCTTCTCCGCCGGCGAGCCCCCTTCCCCCGTCTGCTGCCGAGCAGGTTATCTGATTACAGCAGAGCATTGTAAAGCTGAGATCGTAATAGCGTGCAGCTTGCGTACGAGGAGAGGAGATCGTAATAGCTCCCTTCTCCGTCGTAGCCAATTTTTTGCTGAATCCCATTCCTTTTCCTCTTTCAAAATCATGCTAGGACTGTGACAGCGGAGGTTGGCGGCGAGCTGGCGATGGAGACCGTGTCCTCGGAGACGGCGGAGGGCTGGCGCCGCGCGCTCTCCCGCGTGGTGCCCGCCGTCGTCATCCTCCACACCACGGCGCCGCGCGCCTTCGACACCGGGGTCGCGGGAACCAGCCATGCCACGGGCTTCGTCGTTGACAAGTCCCGCGGCATCATCCTCACCAACCGCCACGTCGTCGGGCCTGGGCCTGTTGTTGCGGAGGCGATTTTTGTGAACAGTGAGGAGATACCCGTGTACGCCATCTACAGAGATCCTGTGAGTGCTTTTGTTCTACTATTTGATTCCATTCGTTTCTGCTTATTCCACTGCTCATGGCGTATTTTAATCAGTTTTGCTAAGGACCCTGTTTTAATCCAAGCTCCCCCACTCTTCTCCAAACAGGTACATGATTTTGGGTTTTTTCGCTATGATCCAGCTGCCATAAAGTACCTTAAGTACGATGAGATCCCTCTAGCACCTGAAGCAGCATCTATGGGGCTGGAAATCCGGGTTGTCGGTAATGACAGCGGTGAAAAGGTCCCCGCCGCCCCGAGTTTTAATTTTCAGTTTGCCTTTTTTTTCTCCCCAGAATCAATATCTTGGATGAAGTTGCAAAACCGAAATTTGAAATTTTGACCAAAATCTGACCAAATTTTGACCAAAATCTGACCAAATTTTCACCGGGCTGTAATTATTTGGCCGAAAGGGATTTATTTTGCCCCAGGCCAAGATGGCCGAAAATCAAATCTCTGCCCTTAAAATCACTTCAATCTGTTGCTTAGTTTCTGCTCTGAAGTAGCCCATAGAGTTACATGCATGTTGTACACCTAAATATTGGAGATTTCATCCCTTACTAGAGAGTTATCCAATACAATGGGTTGCATGTTGATTCATGTTGACTGGATATAGGTTTCAATCTTGCCGGGAACATTGGCTCGACTTGATAGAGAAGCACCAAACTACCAAAAGTATGCCTTGCTTTACATGACCAAAGCTTGCATATTCAATCCATGGATCATTATGTATTGCTGCATAAATTCGAAGTCCTAACCTTGTTTTACTTTTCTAAAAGGGATGGCTACAACGATTTTAATACATTCTACATACAGGTAATTCTTTTCAGCTATCCAATATTCTGTATTTTTTGTTCCAATCAGTGATGCCAATGCATCTAAAATAATGCTTGGTGATTTGCTCCACTGCCAGTGCTCATAAGTTAAAATAATTTTTTTTCTTTAGGCTGCATCTGGTACTAAAGGTGGCTCTAGTGGTTCCCCTGTTGTTGATTGCCAAGGAAGAGCTGTTGCACTGAATGCAGGAAGCAGCAGTTCCAGTGCTTCGGCCTTCTACCTTCCATTAGACGGTGTAAGTTGTTTATGTATCAACACTAATATAGTACTTCCTCATGCTCACAGGAAGAACATAGATGTTCTGGGATCATAGAAACCAGATCATCATCTGCTACTTAATCCATTAATTGTTTGGGGCCCTCTTAGCTTTGCTAACATTATCTGCCTAAATTGTTCCAGGTAGTTAGAGCACTCAATCTGATACGTGGCTGTTGGGACACATTTGGTAGCAAGCCAGAATCTGCTTATATTCCTCATGGTACACTTCAGGTGTGCATTCTGTTTGATGATCCTTTTGTTCTATTAGATGCTACTGTTTTAGTTTTCTATTTTGGAGAGCTAATTACTGAAGTTTAATGGCACTCATCCCATGGAAACCTACATATTTGGATGGGGGAGTAATTGTTTTATCTATTATTCGGGAACTCAGATCATCCATGATCCATTTTTTATTCTGTCCTTTTCAAAGGTGACTTTTCAACGCAAAGGTTTCGAAGAAACTCGACGTCTTGGACGCAGGAATGAAACCGAGCAGGTATGATCCTCCTTTGCTCCTTTTTCTAGTTTGGAGAAAGATGTACACTTGTCTTTTCACGGCTCTGTGTGCTACTCCCTCCGTTCCGAATTACTTGTCGCACGTATGGATGTATCTAGATGTATTTTAGTTCTAGATACATCTATTTTAGCGACGAGTAATTTAGAACAGAGGGAGTACATGATTAATTTCACCTTGAAATTTCTGCTAGGACAGGCGGTACGACTTGTTTCTCCAGCAGGGGAGACTAGAATGCTGGTTGTTGATTCTTCGGTAATGTTTGCTTCTTAGTTTTGTTATTTCTAAACATGTTTTCTTTTATGCTCAGCTTGTTGCTTCTTCCATTGTACTCCCTCCATAAAGAAATATAAGAGTGTTTAGATCACTAAAGTAGTGAATTAAGCGCTCTTATATTTCTTTACAGAGGTAGTACCTTTCTATCTCATACGGAAACTGGGTAATTCTGTTATTGCAGGTGCCAGATGGACCTGCAGACAAACATCTGAAACCTGGTGACGTGCTGATTCGCATGAATGGGGAGGTACGATTGTTTTCAAATGGTATACTAATAATATTTCAACTTAATTTTTGACACTGCACTGATGTCTTGTGACTCCATTGATTGTACTGCTGATACCTCTATTATCATCAATAAGGTCTGTGTTGGTGTTCATCATGGCTTTCAACAGTTCATTTATATTAGTTGCGCCTGATATAAATTTAATTTTGTAATTTAAGTTATTAATATTTCAGAACTTTTACTTGATTTTTCAGAAAATATTATGCTTGGTTGTTGTTGTATATGGACTCTTCTCTAGGTTATCGAATGCCAAAAGACTTTCCTTCGGAAACTTATGAAGATTTAGTATACTAGTTTATTATGGTGTATTCTTCAAATTGTTCTCGCTACATTAGCAGTGACTTGAATTGGAACACCCGTCTATTGCGGACGACTGTTCCCGAATATCCTTGATTCCCTCTGTTTTGCTGTATCACCAAATGTAAGATCAGGGAACTTATTAAACAATGCACACACCCAATTGACCATGGTTTTTAAGGCAGTAAAGAAGAGACGACGCACCCTACCCATGCCCCAACTATTAAGCGTTAAGGCATGAGGTGGGGCTATGCCTTGGACAATCCAAACCTACATTTTTTTTTGATGAAAAGGCTGTGCAACAGCTTTTCATTGAAATGGTAGGGGTAGAAATACAAGAGCAGAGCAGTCAGATACAGCTACAACCAGGGCTTAGCCCAAGTGCCGAGATGGCGCACACGGGAAAAACTAAACCATGCCTGAAAAGCCTAATGAGGTTCTAATGGCCAGTGGATCAAGCAGGGGATCCTATTATTCCCAGCTAACGTCCTAGAGAGAGCCTGGGCCGGTGTTGTTTGTTTATTTTTCATGATCCTCGCATTTCTTTCCTTCCAAGTGGTCCACCATGCATAGCAGTGTTCTCCCTAGGCATTTTTAGATGGTGTATTTAGTATTTACCACAGCCCACATGCCATCAGTTTTTGTAATTTGGTGTGTTGGTTCTCTGGAAGTTACTAAATGTTTCTTGTAGTCACGTGCGTAACCTAACTATAAAACTCGGCTGCTTATTGTTCACTATATTTCTTTTCGATGATGCATTTTTCATGTTATGTTAATTTGTCATACCACATTAATTTCTTATTGAACGATGTTCTTAACTATTTACAGATTGTAACGCAATTTCTCACTATGGAGTCCTTACTTGATGAGAGTGTTGGCAGCGAGATAAATTTGCAGATCGAAAGAGGTGGAACTCCTTTGACAGTAAAGCTGAAGGTAGTCTGCGAGCTTGACACATCTTATTTAATCTGTATACGAGAGAGCAGTATATATGATGTATTGCTCCTGTAATACAACGTGCCCGACTTCATTTTTCTATTGTAACCTCAGTTTGCCACATCATACTTATTTGACTCTTCAGGTAGGGGATTTGCACTCCATAACTCCAAATCATTTCCTGGAAGTTAGTGGTGCTGTCATCCATCCACTTTCATACCAGCAGGTAAGCAACCCTGCTTTCATTATTCTTTTCTGAGCCGAATAGCTTATGTTCTCAGGGTCTCAATGTCGTTCTCAGGGAAACCATATGTACTTGTTTCTGTAGTATTCTGCCTTCAAGAACATTTTTGCAAATAAAATTTGGACAGTGAGTCAGTTTGAAACACTATTCCTTGGTGTATGTCTTCCTCCTTTCCTCGGCTACAGCATCCTGTCCTTAGAGAGGATCAAGGCCTTGCTAACCAGTAGGAAAACACCTGATTTTGTAATGCGGGGTGGGGGGCTAATCTGGGTACCGAGCTTAGGGCCTGTAAAGGGGCCTTGCCTGACCAATTAAGTCGTTGGATGTGATTGCTGACGGTGCTATGGGCCGACGAGTGGCTTATGCACTACACCTTGGAAGCCTACCTTGTGGAAATCTTCAAGAGTGAAGAGTTCTTCTCGTTGCGTCGAGGGGGCGAGAAATGCCTTCTGAAAGGGGATGCTAATACTGCCTATTTTCAGGCGATTGCTAATGGGCAGCGGCGGAGGTGTTCCATCCCTTGCTTGTGGGAAAGGCGAGGTCCTTCTTCAGCAGCTGGGAAAGATAAGATCCCACGTCCACTCCTATAAGGAGCTCATCACGGGGGACTTTTGGCCAATGGCGTGGCGGCTAAGGTTTCCG